GAGGCAGCCTTCTTGCGGTGCAACAAAATCGATTTCTCAGCCAAGGCGTCACCGGGAAGGAATGACAATGCGGGCTCAACTCGGGGAACGGCTGGAACTCATCCGAATTCATCCGATCTTCACCCTGTGATACAACCTGTGACACCTCTCCGCCCAGCTTATATTCTCAGCTATTGGGGGATGGTACGTCTTGCAGTGTCGCAAGGCAGAGAGCGCCGTTGCGACAGCGGATCCACGCCGGAGTACCGCACGCCAGCCGCCCCAGTCGGCGAGCGGCTGCATCTGCCGAAGCGCATGCTCCAGTACACCGGTCACCAAACTCTGTCTATCCGTTGCGACAGATACGCTGAGCCGGTTTCATCAGTTTCATCCATTCTTGGCTTCTTTCAGGAATTTCGGAAATACGGTCATCTCGCTCAACGTGTTGGTGTCCGTACCGCGACTGCCAGCAAGCCGCTCATGCTTTTGTTGCCATCTGGCGAAACTTTGGCAGTGGCCCTTTCTCTAACCTTTGGAGTTGCGGCCTCGATCTCGGAGCAGGCAACCCTACTGGAGCTCGCTCTAGCGTTTCATAAGTTGTTGCACATGCAACGTCGCTGGCAAGAAAGCCTGTGAAGGCTACGTTTGATGCTTGGCGTCAGATGCAACGGGATTTAGGTGTTTTTTCCGCTCTTGCTGAGCCGGGGGTCCGATTGATCGCGGTGGTTGGCCTCCATGTCCACGATTTCTTGATCTTCGCAACGTCTCGGCTTTGCATGGGCTCGGGTTTATCCGGGTTGGATTCAAGCTGACCGTGTCCATGCAGCAGGCAATGAAGCTCAGGAGACAACTTCGCGTTGGGTAAATGAAGCTTCCCAGTTGACCCTCTGACCAGGGCGTCGCCCAGTGCAAAGAAGGGCGTGCCAGAAGTGGACTGTGGTGCATGACCCCAGCCCTAGATTCACAGTTAAAGGAGAAAATCCACAAGGTGAAGCTGCTAAGCAGATCCAGCAGAGATCCGACAGCGGCCCGAAATTTCTCTTGTATCCTTAGACTGCTTAGAAGCCCGTAGGCGATCCGGAAAGATCATGCTGTCCTGGCGAAGACTTGGTGACATGTTTCATGTGCAGAGCGATTGAAAGTACTCGCCGACAGGGGGTGGGATGCTCGAACTAAAGCCACCAGGTGAACCTTGAGTTTTCGCGTGCCTCGTGTTTCCATGGATAGTTGTCGCCAATCACCTCTCCACCTTTTTCCTGAAAGCTGCGCAGAAGGGTTCCCGTTTTGAAGGTTGGGGTCCAGGGGTCCAGCAGGTGACCAGCGATCGTTGTTAAAGCGTCGGCAAAGCGTTCGCAAGCGTCCGCAAAGCGTCCGCGTGTGACGCGAGGCGTGTCGCGCAGCGCTGTTAAGGGGGAACTCCACAGAACGCGCGTCCCGACGGCGTTCTGAATCCGTCAAGCTAAGGGGGAACTCCACAGGACGCGTGTTCCGGCAGCGTCCCGGCAGCATCCCGACGGCGTTCCGAATCCGTCAAGCTAAGGGGTATACCCCCAGAGGTGTCGCGCGCGTTCTGAATCCGTGAAGCTAAGTCGTGCATCTCGTGCAAACGTGGTGATACGACTCTCGTGCTGCCCTGATTCCTTCTCCGGCGATTTTCCTTATAGGGGATGCGATATATGCGTTACGCGTGTCTGCATTCGGGTTCGTGGCCCCGATCAGGGGTCGGTTTGTGGAGTTGCAACAAGCATCTTTGCGGCATAAAATCCAGACGTGATTGGCGTACGTTGGCGCAATTTGGGGCTGGTGCAGGCAGGATGCCGTGGGCAAAGGTCGATTCCAGATGTTTTCACGTTCAGATTTTGTATCGGTTACAAGGTGAGGCGGGATCAAGTTGCTGACAGTTTCGTGTTTCTGTAATCTCTGTTTTGGCTGTGTTGGTCTCCACCAAAGTAATGGTTGATTGGAATTACTACACATGAACATTGTTCAGGCACGAATTTTGTTTAGTGGCTGTGGGCTTGATTGAAAGACCTGCTGAGAAGACGCCAGTTCGCGAGTTCGTGTCCCGAAAAGATATGGTGGCTACAGAAGCGATATTTTGAGTGCGATTGTTGAGGCGTGTTTCATTTTGGAAGTCACACTGTGTTGGATCTCCAGTAAAGCAGGTGATCGGAAAAGCCACACAATTTGTAGTAGTCTTGCTTTCAAGATTTCTTCTTTGGGTTTCGTCGATTTTCCTGGCGAGAAGGAAGCTGTGGTGCGGTGCAGACGCATTTCAAGGAACTATGAAGGCTGTTTTGAGCTTTTGTAGCTTTCGTTTTTGCGGTTTCTGGTTTTTCCCGTTCTTTCTGTATCTGTTAAGGTTGGCACGTCCATGAATCCTTGTCAGCGAAGACGTGGGGGTGGGAAAAAACGATTTGCCGCCGTCGCACTGTTTGTAGAGTCTTAAATTGGCGCAGCTGTCTTGGTATCTTTGTTGCTCCCTTTCTCGCAAGTGTTCCCGCATGCCAAGGACGCCGGCGACGCGGAGCCTCGCCCGAGGATTCCGCACTTCTCCGATGATGCTACTGCTGATGCACGGAGATGGAAGCGGGCCAGCTGATCCCAAAACAAGGACGGGAGTGCCGTTTTCATGCCATGCTACAGGATGCTACTGGATTTCCCACGAGAGGCGCCTGCTGCAGAAGAGCAGCAGCGAAAGCGTAACGAGCCCAGGGCGCCGCCGGTGCTTAGCCATTTTTGCTCTTGAGTCTCACGGGGCTTCTTCGCAGGTCCTTGCTGCAGTGGCAGGTGTTCCACCGGGCTTGGAGGCCTTGTGTCCGGCTTCCTGCTTGTTGTCTGCGAGCTTTGAGCTGTGCAGGCGTCGTCAAGTGCAAGCGCCACCAAGCACCGGCTCCCAGCTTTCTCCGTGCGTGGCCGTGGTTGCTTCCCGTATGCCGTGTACAGGAGCGGAGGGCGGCGAAAATTGCTTTGGAAGGGGCCGGTTTCGCCGTTGGAGGTTGCTCGCAAGGCCGTGTTGCCCGACACCAAGGGGCAAGGGCAGAGCTGCAAGGCTCCCACAACTTGTGGAGTCGGGTTCCAGGTACAGCACGGCATGCAGCCGGGTGGCCTCGTCAAGGGCGTGATGCATTCCTGCGATCCTGTCTCACCTCATTGCCACCTTTCCGCCCCCAAAGGGGGAGGCCAAGGCACCAGCAAAACGACACTGGACTGCAACTTCCTTGCGGGTGTTGTGTCAAACACCACCTCCAGCAACACGCACGCTGTCCGGTTCTGCTCGTGCCTGCTCGTATCAAGTCTGCGAGTCCAGCAAACCCGTTCCCGGCAGCAGATGGAAACATTTTTTCATCTGCACTCGCGCCCCCATACACAACAATATAGATATAGACACGAAGAATTGCAACTAAAGATACGAGTACAAGCATACATCTACATCTACAACTACATTTACATCTACAAGTGACTTTGGACAAGTATGCATGCATAAATCTTGTTGCAAGATGTATTTACAAATGCCAACGTCAAATCATAATCAATATCAATGTAACTATCAGCATAAATGTAAAGATGGTGCTGAAGATGCAACTGCAGATACACATGTGTATATACATATGTATATATATATATATATATGACCGCGATCTTAACCCGAAACCCACAATTCGGATATATATATATATATATATATATATATATATATATATACAACTGAAAGTGTGGGGATCTATGTATCTTTCGTTGTATGTATACACCTATCTGTATATGTGTTTATATGTTGTGTGCATATGCACATGCATAATTAACATCACACATATACATAAATATATATATACACACACGCACATAAAAACCTACCTACCTACGTATACCTACATACATACATGCATACATACATAGATATATACATATACATACACGCTCTGTCAGTTTCAGCCGAGGTCTCAATTCGAACTCAGGGCTCATGCTATGTTTTCAGGCGTGGTTTTCAATTCGAAGTTACAACTCGTGCTATGGTTTCAGCCGTTGTTTTAGTTCGAATTCGGGGCTCCAGTTGTTGTTTCAGGCGTGCTTTAAATTCGAAGTTTTTCATCCAAGTGTTGCTCCATGGGACAAGCAGGCTGTCAAGAAACTTGATCTAACTTCGTTGGTTTAGGCCAGGGTCTAGGACAGGCGTTTGTGCGCTTGCAAGGTTAAACCGCCTGTAGTTCTTTGTGTTGGCTGTGTTTGCTATGCAGATCAGATCTGTTTTCTCTTGAGGTGGCCATTCGACCCGTGTTTGTGGCTATTCCGAACCGCCCCTGGACCGGATGTGGGAAATATGTTGACTGCATTCATCAGCCGAAGCCACGCCGCCTGTGCCCCCATTTCCGCCTGCGAAGCACCCGAAGGTTGAGCCAGGCCAGGTGTGATGGACAAAAACGGAAGAGCGACAGTCGAACCCCCCTGCTATCCTCAACACCTAGCTGCACCTAGCTGTGGCTGAACACCAACTCGCGCCAGCATCAGTCCACTGCAACGAGGGCCACCGCACAACCATCACAACGAGCACAATCACCGCAACCGCCGCAAAGCACCGCACCAGGGGACCAGGAAGCTGGAGGCAGGATGGGAGGAACAAGAGCCGCATCTCCCAACGCCTAGCTGTGGCCAAACTTCAAACCAAAGCTTGCTGACCCAACCGAGGATGCAATTCGAAGTTCGAGCTTGGGCCTGTCTGAGTTTAAGACGACAGGTTGGCGGACCCGGCCCACGCATGACAATACATTAACCTCGAACTTAATCCTTTTGGAATTCGGAATTCATCCTCATCCTCTTCTATTTGTTGGCGCTTCTTTCGCTGTAACAGAAAGTCTCTTCCTGAATCAGCTGTATGCTCCCCAGCACAGAATCAGTCATGATGATGTCATGATGATGGAGTTGGATTGGGCTGTGTTATAAAAGAGCCTGCGGTGAGTTTTGTGAGACACGATTTCGATGTCGTGCGAAGCTTTAACCCAGACGCTGACCCGCGCGTCCAAGCCATGACCTCGCCTTTGGGGCGTTCGGCACCCTGGTCGGCACCTGCCTAAGATGCAGGAGACGCAGCGAAGATGGGAAGGGAGGTACAATGTGTGTGCAGGTCATGGGCCTCGCTACATTGCTTGGCATGCTTCGGCCCTTGTGTCTCAGCAATGGGCAGAGGGCCTTTTTTCATGGGAGCTTTGTGCGTTGAGGCTTTGTGTGGATTGGGTCTTCGACACCGGCGACTCGATGCAGGAGGCAGTGAAAAGCCCTCCTGCGTTACGCCTCCTCTGGTTCTCCATTCGCTTGGACCCGAGTTGGAAGGCCAAGGTTTACTACTGCGCCCTCCTGCCACTTCCTTAGCGTGCCGAGTGCGCCGCCAGTGCCGTCCTTTCCCGTCTAGCAGCTGGTGTGCTAGCAGACACTTTCTCTTCGTGCGGTCCTACCTTGACTGCATCCTTCGATTCCAAGCTACTTCTGGCCCATTGCCATTGGAGGCCGACGCTTTTTTCGTTCCCGCAGTGCCTGCGCATCCTGACGCTTGGCAGTCACGGCTCGGAGTTTTTGGTCGTTGGCTCTGACGCGAAATTTCTGAGGATCCCGGTAGCCTTCTCCGGGGTCCACATCCTGATGAACCTGCAGGGGGCCCAAGGCCCAAGCAGGAAGCGGATTAGAAGTAGAGGCCTCTGGCGAGAGTTTCTCGCTCAGAGGTCAGGGCCTCCTGGCGCGAGAGTGGCTCACCTCGCCACCTGCGCTGTCGCTTGCTCGGAGACTGCAGTTTGTTGCAGCATGTTCCAGCTGTCGAGGACTAGTGGTGCTGATCGAATTCAAACAAGCAGGTCCACCTTCCCTCCCCTCTCGCCCTCCTTCTGGATTCCGCCATGTCTGGTAAGAGGTGTTTTTTGCTGAAGAACAGTCTTTCTTGTGCAGAAAGACAGTTCCAAGTATACCGGCGTGTCAGTTCGATGGGACGGAGTTATGAAAAGTCCCAAGCCCCAGTAAGCGAAGAACTTTCTTCGAAAGACTCAGGCATCCGCCGGGCGGGCCAGTTTGCAGACCAGCCCTATAGCAGGTGTGCACGGCCGCAAGCCTCGCCTTCTCAAGCGAACCACAAGAGACTGGCCCTTTGATCTCGGAGCTCCGGATGCCAGTTGCATGCCGTAGCCCAACAGTGATGGAAGCCGAAGGGTCTTGAGAAGCATGCCGCACAGATTTCGACCACGGTGGAGTCAGTGCACGACTGACTACCCCAAGGTGATCCCAGATTCCTTCGATCGCGAAGCTCCCTGAAAGTGGCGGCCTGTCATTTGCTTAGGCCGAGACTGCCTGCTTGATTTGGGACTCGATCTGACCCAGTCACTCTAAAGAGACGTGGTTGACATCGTTGAAGAGACGGCCCGCGCTTTCGAAAGACTGGAACGGCGTGGGCGCTGGCTGCTGGCTGCGTAGAAAGGGCTGCACCCCTGGCAAACGTTCTGGCCGGCTGGCCGGTGTCCCTTAGAGGATGCTGAGCCCAGTAGAGACGATGCCACTATATGCATGTACAGACTTCAGACTCGCAGAAAAGCCGCAGGCAAGCCACAGCCATGGCAAGCTTCGGTCCGCAAAGAAAAAGGGGGTGCGCCGTGCTGCAGAAGCCTCGTCTTCTCCAAGCCATAACAGTGCTCCTACAGGTTCCGGTGTTTAAGCTTTGGAGTGACCTGCACCGTCAGCCCTTGGAACTCGAGTTCAAACTCCTGTCACCGTCTTTCTGCCTCCATGGGTAACGGCTCCATCAGGTGCTTCTATTTGGTGGCCTGCCCTGCTTCTACATCTCTGTTCGAGCTGCCTCTGTCTCGGACGTTCAGCTTGGGGATTGCTTGGCTGATCGCGCAGGGCCCTCCTGCAGGCTTCTCAAGTTCCCAAGATGCCAACGAGGCTCCTTGAACGGAGCAGGAAGCGTAACGGTTGCGAACAGGGTTTGCAGGGTTCTGCTAGGGTCTCAGCCGGAGATGTCCCACGAAGCACATCAGTCGGTTCCTACCATCTAGCGTGTATTGGTGCCACCTCACATGCTTTGTACTGTGCGCGGCGCTAATGGCTTCAAGTTCTGGCGCGGCCTCGGTCCCCGAACTTCGGGCGGGGCAGGTGCAGTTTCAAACTGGTGAGAACCGATCAGGTCGAGACGAACCATTACAGTGAATGTTGGTCAGGTTGTCAGTCGTGTCCCCAAGCTGTCCGCATGCTTGCATGGCAGTGGCTCGGCTGCCGCCGCCTGCCGCTACGAGAGACTCCGTCAAGGGACAGTTTCAAAACAATCAGGACGGGGCCCAGCAAAAAGGGACAGCATGGGACAGCTGAGCGCGCGATGCTTCCGTGCCTTGACACGGACGTCCGTCCGGCGACCGCAGAGAAGGAAAATCAAAGAACGCCACTCATTCATCCTGCGTCCATACACAGAGAGAGAGACAGCGAGAGAGAGAGAGAGAGCCTCGGGGGGGAAAAACTCCCACGAGGACTAAGGACAACCCGCGAATAGCGGGTGTGCGCACTGCACGGGGAGCGGGGCCTGGATGCTGCCCTAATCCCCAAGCCCGGTAGAGAGAGAGAGAGAGAGAGAGAGAGAGAGAGAGAGGGAGCGAAGGCGGAGCAGCAGATGGAACGTCGGAAGCCTGCTCAGGGCAACCTTCCCACAGCGAGGTGCAGTCGATGTGCAGCGATACGGACATGGCGAAGCAAATGAACACACTGCAGCGGGCGCACGCGGCTCCTTGCCAGTTCAGTTCTAGACGCTGATTGAGCAATTGCTGCACGAACAGTGTTCTGAGCACCTTTGCCTCGTTGCTCCTGGCATCTCCCGGCTGTGCCATTAAGGCGTTGTTTGTCATCTTCCTGGCAAGCCGTAAGCTCGGGCTGCATGGGAAAAGCGTTGTAGAGAGGCATAAAATTGGCTTTGAAATGCACTCAGACTCAGGTATCGCCTTGGAAACGGCCGAGCTCTTGGAACGTCGGACAACACGCCTTGAATCGCTTCTGACGCTCTGTGAGGCTGGCCATGCCGCGAGGACGAAGCCGAAAGAGCAGTGAGGATAAATCAGCGATCCATGGGTGTCCGGAATTGTAGCTGAAGACGAAGAAGACTTGCGACTTGCCGTATCTGCAGAGCGCTTTGCGGCTCACAGCTTTCATTTGTTGCTTGAGAAGATCACTGCCATGTGAGCAGCCGGCGCTCCGCGGGACCCGCGGATGCCGGAGACACCCTCGGGCCTGGCGAGCGAGCTCCTTGTCAGAGCACTCAGACGGCAAAAGTCCGCTGCCGGAGAGCTGATGCCCCAGGACCAGGAGTGATAACCGCGGAAGCCATCAGGAGAGCCCGCAACGTCCGGATGCGGATGGGCCCATGCGACAGTGCTTGGTTGTTTCAGAGGAGATCAGAGATGCCGTCCACCGTGGAAGCGGTCTGCTGCTGCAGAGACGAGGTAGCATCGGTAGTGCACGTCAAGATTTGTCAAGTGCACGCCGCAAGCGCCATGCGCGTGCCTGGCAGGCTCGCAGATGACACTGCAAACGAGAACAAAGACTGAAGGGACCACTGGGCTTTTCACTGTCACTGCTGCCCGCTTGCCCGAGCTGATCGACGAGATCGGCATCGGCAAGTTTCAGATCGTACAGTTCCTGCCCGTCCTTTTCGTGCCCCTCTGCGAGGGCGCCAATGTCCTCGTGCCTTTAGAAGCACTGGAGCCAAAGCCTCAAGGCTCCTCTCTTTCTCTCTTGAGGTGATGACGAACGTGACGCATGCCTTGAAGCGCAACTTCCAGCTGACCAGCTGGCAGGCCGGCACCCTCGACCCTCGGCCATCTCGGCGCAGTGGGGCCTTGGGGCCATGATGGGGCCATGGCCCACGGGGGGACGGGGCGGCTTTTTTTGCTGCGCTTTGCTAAGGATGCCTTCTCCTTCTTGGGCCTTGCGCTCGGCCACTACGTCGCGGGCTTTCTTGCAGATCTGCGAGGTCGACGCCTCCCCGTGGTTCTCTCTTTCCTTGGCATGTGCCCCTCCTGTAACTGCGGCCTACTGTCTTAGTCTTAAGAGTTGGATCGTTCCCTCAATTGTCGCACAACACTACCTCTGTCCCGTTGCCGAACGGTTTGAACAAGGAGGCTGGATCCTGCAACAAGGCATATATTTCTATCACATACCGCGTAAGTCGCGGCGCTGTTTCACCAGAATTCAGATGCGAGAGGCGCTTCGACTCCGACCCGAAGCCTAACGAAGAGAAAAGAGTCTTGAGTTGTCTTATTTTGAAAGTTCGATCTCAGGACCTTGGGTTCTCTGCTGATGACGTTGGCCGCGGGCTATGAGGCGATGGCGACGCTGCGGCTGCTGCATGGCCTTTGCTGTGGACTCGGGGTTCCACCGGCCGCGTCGATGATCGCCGAGACCTCTCCAAGCGCCTGGCCAAAGCCTCAGAAAGCACAGGGCAAGCCGCTCGCTCTCTCGCTCTCGCTCTCGGAGACTCGCCTCCGCTCGGGGCGCTCGCATCGAATCGCAGGCGCCGCTTTGTCTTCGTTCTCTTTTGGAGCTCCACGGCCCTTGGAGAGACCTATGCCTGCTTCGGCTTGATGCTCTACATGCCCAACCTCACAGAAACCGCTTGGAAGCAGGAGCAGAGTCAGAGCCAGAGCAGGGTTTCGTGTGCTCATGAGAGAATCAGAAGCTATCAGGCCGTTCTTTGGACTTCTTTGCCGGCATTCTTGATGTTGCTGCACAGCCGCAACTGATGCAGTCTTGCAAACTAGCAGATGCTTTGTTGCCGTTAACCGAGCACTCGGCACAAAATCTGCGAGCTCTCTCCCACATAGTTCCCTGCAGCATGCATTCAGAGTTCAGAGCTTCTTCCTCAAGATCCTGCCGAGGATCCTCTCGGTGGCCACGCTGCAGGCGCGGGAAGCGAAGCACCGCAGAGAGCACACGTTCAGCTCCCGCGCGTTTTTCGCTCTCTCTCAGAGCTCCTTCGCGAGGACTCCCCGCATTGGCTCTGCGTCCACGGGCGCCTCATCGAGGCGAGGATCGTCTTGGAGCGGATGGCGAAGATGAACAGGACTCGGACCTCAGCTGAGTCGATGTCGGAGACCGGAGCGGCGGATTTCAGCGGATTCCAGCCCGTTTTCAAAACAGGAAGGAGGAGGTTCTCAAGAAGCTGGGGCCACCCCCTCTCCACGACTTCTCGAACTTGTACGGCGTCATCAGAGCCCGTGCAGGCTCCGAACCGCAGTGAGACTTCAAGTCACCGAACTCTTCTTCTCTGAGGTCACGGCCCCTCGCCACAGGCGCTGTATCAACGCCTGGTGCAGCCGGAGACGCTGAAGCTAGTGCGCACAGCGTAAAGTGGAGTGTTGAGGCCTTGTCTTTCTGCTGCCTCTCGCCACTCGCATTTAGGTGTGTCTATTCTCCGTCCTCGCCAGTGTTGGGAATATCGAGACATTCGGAATGAGCAACGTCTGGCCAGATGCTTTCCTGATTCCTGATCCCAAGTGCAGCACCTCAAGTTCATCCTAGTTCAAGTGTAGTTTCCAGCTGAGGAGATGCTCCGCGAGGAAGCTGCAGACGAGCACATGCACGGTCTGCATGGCTCCAAAGTTACACCACCGGCACAGAAGCTTGCACTCATCGTCTCCATTGGTATTCCGGTGACTCTGGCAGCTTTAACAGTGCCTGAGCATGCTGCCAGCACAGGATCTGCAGAAGCAGCACAGCATGATGCATGATGCAAGCAAGGCACCGGAATACCAATTCCAAGACTTGTCAGGTTGGAATGGCTTCTGCTTTGGTCTCGTTTTCCAAGACGGCATCTCATCGCGTGCACATCATCGTAGCGGGCCTCATGGGATGTACGGCAATTTTATGCGCTTCGTTCCTGCAGCATCTGCAGCAAGCTCCTTTCCTCATGGCCGCGATTCTTATCACTCACATGCTCGCAGCTCAGCTGAGTGAGAACTGAACAGTGCTACACAGTGGCATCGGCAAGGTCTGGAACCCTTCAGTACGCGGTGGCGATGATCTTCTGTGAGGAGTCCTTTCCCACCGACATCAGGGCAAGCGCGACAGGCGTCCGCGGTTTTGCTTTGCTTTAGGACCGTGATGTTAGGGTTCCGTCCTTTGTGGCCGTCGGCTCGCAGCTCCTCGTGTGACTTGCGGAGCTGCGTTTGCGCAGAAAATGCCGCCGCTTCCTCGTCTCTGACTCTTTCGGATCGGGTTCTTTGGCATGTGGCACAGGAATCGTGATCTTCTGGGGCACGCTCTGGTCGGTGTTCTCTCCCCTGCTACTGACAGCGGCGTCTAGTCAGCCAGTCAGGGAAGGGATGCGGAGGGAAGTGAAGCCGGGCCGGCGGCCGGGGGCCGTCTTTTGGGATGCAGGTCGGCGAGGTGGGATTCCTGGCACTTGCGGCCGCGGCGTTTCTGGTTTCCACGGTCTGCGTCCTGCCGCTTCAGGCTGCGTCCTCAGAGAGGAAGATCGATGTGATATGATGTCTCGGCGTATCTATTGCCCCAGGAGACCCATTGCACAGAGCTGAAGGACATGTGTGCGTCTTGCTGTCAGAGAGGATATACGCAGTTTTGGGCTGCGGAGCGTCTTTGCAAGGACTTCGTGGAGCCGCATGAAGGTGAAAGCCGGGAAGAGGAGAGACAGAGAGAGCCTCAGGCGCCGCCTCAGGCGCCTGATGCGCAAGAGGCTGAAGACGAGGAGAGTGAGCTAGGCGAGCTGGGCGAGCTGTCGGAAGAAACGGACACGGTCGGAGGTGCAACGAGTGCGAGTTGCCAAGATCTCTCGACGTCTGTGGCCTTTGCCAACGGCACCCTCGGTGCTGTGTTGGAGTTGAAGCTGGTGTTCTTCCTCTTGGGCTGCGTGCCTTCGGTGTCCTTCACCGCCTTCTACTCCTCGATGGGCTTCTTCATCGACCGATGCAAAAATCCCAGCTTCTTCGCACAGGCGGCCCGTCCCAAGAGGAGAATCTCGAAATCTAATGATATGCGGAGCTGAAGAGCAAAAGGGCGATGTCAGGCGTCATGGCTGAGGTCGTGGAGGAACAGTGAAATTTTGAGGCACAGAAAGTCCAAGCAAGGTGTGGTGCCATGGTGTCATGTGATGCTTGCGATGTGAGCATCTGTGCTGATGTGGTGTGATGTCCGTTGGTGTAACGTGAAAACCATGGCGCACGGCCACGCCGCAGGCCGCTGTCATGTCATGACTCATGACGTCTGTCGTGAGTTGGGACTCGGAAGTCTCTTCTCGTCCTCGGCCTTGGCCTCGGCCTTAGCTCAGGAGATGTTGGTGGGCAACGGAGCCGTTCTGCTGGGTTTGCTGCTTTGGACACGGCTTTCAGCTTCCATCTTTGCTCGTTTGGTCTTGGGCACCTTCTTCTTGTTCCTGGTGGACCTCTTCATGGCCTTTCCCGAGGACGAAAAAACGATGTTGGCCTTGGGCTTCCTTCAAGGCCTGTTGAACGTCACGGTCCTCAGCACCACCCTGTCTTTGGCATCCGAGCTCGAGAACTGTCGCTCCTGGGTGCATTTGGGCTTTGCGGCTGGCACGCTTCTGCCGGTCTTGGCGGTTCCCTTCACTGGCTTTGGGCCAAAGTGTCTTGTCGACTGTACCATGTGTTGTACGCTTCCGATTTACGTGTTTTGCTTGTGTGCTTATACTGGTAGCTCCTTGACCATGAGCAGCAGAAGTCGTGATGGCATGCTGTGAATCCAGGTCTCCTTTGTCTGTGCGACTGGCATATTATCTTCTGCCCGCGCTATTCTGTCTGCTAGCCGGCATGATGTATGGAGGCGTCTACCATCGAAAAGTGGCAGAAGTGAACAGGATGGGACGGAGAGCGAAGGGAAACTTGGCCGACCTCGTCATGGCCTATGCAAAGTCTGAGAGTTCTGAGCCTTCCTCGGCCGAAGCAGCGGCCCTGCCAGCGGCCCCGGCTTGGGCTTTAAACGGTCTCGACAACTTGGCCCTTCTCCTTATCCTTTGCGCTTCAGCTGCACAAGAACGCAGGCAGTAGACTTAGACGCTAGCAGCTCTAGCATGTATATATAGTTATAGCTGTCAATGCTTCATGCAACACCTGTCGTGAAGCTGAAGGCACCATAAGCGCCCTTCTCCCATTTTTGTTCGCCATCCGTGCCGACACTATATGTATCGGTTTCTCTCAAGCTGCCAATGTGCTTCTTGAGTGTTCCTATAGAGCGAGTTCCTAGAGGGAAATTCTCTAATTGGATTCCGTTACTTGATCTTTGCCCAATGAACTTGTGAGGCTATCAGTTCGCCGCGTACTTCTTTGCAGGAGTGTTCCCATTCTATGGGGACGCCACAGCAGCATTGATGCTGTACCTTGACATGATTGCAGGGGACGTGATGGGGAACCTGTCAGCTTTTGCGTGGGCGGCCGTAGTGGACTTGTCGAATCTCGGGCGCGACCTGAAGGAGAGGGAAAGGGCTAGGACCAGGAGCTTAGCCGCGCTGGCGGCTGCAACCTGCTATGGAGCCTTGCTGCTCCTGCTGCTGATCGCTGGCGGCACCGCGGGCCTGGGTTTGTGGGGTGCGGCAGAGGCCGCCAAAGACCATGCCAATGCTCCCCTGCCGACGCAGCTCTGTTTCGCGACTCGGCGAAGCTTCTGACTTCTGAAGCTCCTGCAGTGATGTTTTTACCTCTCTCAGGTGACTTTCTTCTTCGGTGCTTTTGCAAAGGGCAGCCTCGACGAGCTCCGACTCGTAGGAGGAAAATACAACGTTGTCCGATTTGCTCGGCTTCTTGGAAGCTTGCTGGGCCTCCTTGCGGCACTCCTGTGCTGCCACCTTAACCGCGACTTCTCCCAAGAGATCTCGCCTACGTCCACGCTCCCCCACAAGGCTCGGTGCTACCTCTCTCCATGACTCTCTGTTCGTATTTCCACCAACATCTGATCTCTTGTCTGAATTTGATTTCGTGGACTGGACGGAGTTCGGCGCTTAGACTATCATGTGCGGTGTTGCCCCTTCAGCTTATGCATGCAATGTAATTTGAGTAGTTGAATGTAATTGAGAACAAGCCTTCTCATGATTATCGACAGACTATTCGCACACGATGCAGTAGAAGCCAAAAGACGTTCCTCGTGAAACACGATCTCCACCAAGGCTCCTTCCGAAGTTCGATGCCGCTGCAAGTTCAGGTGACTTCTGCTGCGAGCTTCGGACTACAAGGGCAACATGTGAGAAGGTGAGGAAACCCCCATGGACGAATGCACTCACAGACAAAATGGGCATGTTCTCTGTCAAAGCTGTTGTGTCATTGCGGCAGGACGCATGCTTGCATCCTTCTCTTGCCAGTTGCAACGTTAGATATACTGCTGCAGTCCCAATCAAGCCTGTTGTTTGCCATGTGCTAAAGAAGTCCCTTCCTCGTCGTCATGGGTCGGCAAGTGGGACATCAACCGCTGGCCTGCGATACTTGGATATGCAGCTGATAAGGGTCCGGGTAGCGATGAAAGGAGTCTCTGGGTGCTTTCATGGAGGAGCGGCTTGGGCCTTCCGAGGCTTTGATATGCATGCTTTGCATCAGGGAGGTCGCGGCAGCCCGAGATTCATTCAATGCGCAGCAGGCTTGGCCACCCAGCCCGCCTGCAAGAGATTGACACAAGATTATCAATTGGCGACACAAGTACCACTTCTGGGCACAAGTTGAACAGCAAAAGCCCGGCACCTATACACCAGTACTCGGCCATTTTTCGCAGAGTTCGCGCGCAGAAGCATATCGGCGCAAAGTCTAAAGCTAAACATCTCCAGATCGGTACACTCGGGTACGAAAACCGTCGTTGGCGCGAGCATTCGCCGGGACAGCAAGGGGGGCGCGGTTGGCAGTTTTGGGTGCCGAGCACTGACCGAGGCGACTCACTAAGGCTTTGCGGGCAGCGGTGCCAGTTTTGCAACATTTGCAGGTCGTATTTCAGCAATTCGAAACAGTTTGTTTATTTGTTCGTGTTCGTGGAACGAACCCGCATCCTGCAAACTTCGCATAATGGTTTGAGCTTCAGGGTTTGGGATCTGCAGTTCTAGGGTAAGAAATTATCGGTACGGAATTCGTTTCGCTGTTGCTGCAACATTTCCTTGCTGTCTACACGAGCACTCAAAAACTCTGTAGCGCAGATGGCAGCCTATGTCGGCAGCACGTTGAGGGCCGCCGATGCACACAAAGAGTGGCGCTCGGCCGCGGCTGGCAGCAATTCTGGCACAGGTTTTGTTTGATTGGCTTTGCCAGCAGGAGCCTCAAGCTGTGAAATACTGTGATACATAATACCATCCTTGGATGCCCTCTCATCTCCGAGGTGGCAGACGCTGGGGAGTTTTCCATAAAGACCATGTGGTCTCTGGGGGAGTCGATCCTTGGTGCATCATGGCATGAGCCTTGTTCTGTAACCACCGCACACTTGCATCCTGGAAAACGAGAGAGCGCGACCTTACTTGACTCGGGTGGGTGCCATTGGAGACATGAAGAGGCAAGTCGACGCAGGGGCCGAACACTGTTACCAGGGAACAAGAGCCGAGGAGTTCTGACTGTGCAAGGGGTAGGCACGAGAGACGGCAATATCTTCTTTCAGTCAGGTCATCCTGGAAAAGGGGAGAAGCAGAACGAGTGCGTAATTCAACAGTACATAACAGTATTATCTAGGTATACCGAGTAACCAAGATCAATTACTTTCCCCACAGTCTCTCAATCAGACAATCCGTCCAGTCTTGAGCCAATGCCATTCGGCATTGTAGCAGTGTCAAATGCATCATGACCATTAGGTGCATCATTGAGCTCGTGTCATTTAACACAGTCCCTTGATCCTGACTTCAGTCGGGGATCCCTCAAACATTTACCGAGCAAAAGAGGTGGCATTCGCGAAGCGATCAAGAAACACTCGAAGGAACAAGCAATCAAAGCTGCCCAGGATCATTGGCCTCATTCCAGACATGTTGGCTCGATTCGGGACAACATTCGAGTTGTTGTGCAAAGGCTTTCGGAGGCCTGTTTTTGCACTGCACAGACCAAGCTCGCAAACAGTCGGCTCATGTATCATTCCCATGGAAGCCGAGAGTTGCATTCTCAGCAAACAACTGAAGAATTCCAGAATCTTGCTCCTCTTCAGTCACCGCTGACCTTTTACCTTTACCTTCAGGGCATTCCTTGCTCCAGTAGCTTGTGTCGCCACACCGAAAACATCCTTTCCTTTTCCGTTCATTCCTTTTCCTTTGTATCCTTTACTCTTTCCTTTGCCTTCTCCTTCGTACATTCCTTTGCCCTTATATCCTTTTTTCCTTTCCTTGGGTACATTCCTTTACCTCTTTTGTATCCTTTGCCCTTCATCCCTTTCTTTCTTGTCAGGGCTCCTATGTCCATGTCGGCTTGTCCTTGGTGGTGGTTATCAATCCTACCACTCGACACAGTCAGGTGTCTACTCTTGATGTAGCTGTAGATGATCTCCAGTGCCTCAGTGACCGTGTTGATGTTGCTAACATTCAACCTGAACTACTGCTGCAACGGACCAACAGTTTTCTGCATTAGCAACGTTACCAAGAGGTCATTGTCCAACGGTCTTCCAGTCGTCTTCTCATGCTGATTCTTCAAGATGGTAAACTCGCTCAGATCACTCTCCAAGTGGTCATTTCGCAGGCGGAAACCAATGATCTCATTCAACAGATTGGTGGATCTCGCCCGCTCTGGCAGTGAAAACTGATTGTGCAATCTACGCCAGATCTCGAATCGATTCTCCGTGTCCTCATTAATGCGAACAATCGCACGAGCGGCGCCATCAGTGATTTGCACCAACATATACGCCAGTTGCCTAGAGAGCAGTGAAAGCTGATCATTATGTGTGCGGTTTTCCTGAACATTGAAAGCTAAACAACTCATCAGTGGTCGTTCGGTTGGATCCTTCAATTAGCAGTTTGGTCAGTGGCTTGTACAGTCCTACGTATCGCTTTCGTTGCCACGACCAGTCTTCCCATTTCTCCAGCTCCCCATGATACACTGGTGGCGCGCTCCGCCAGTCCCTCTGCTTCCGAACTCCATTCTCTCTCAGCCCCTGATTCCAGAGCCGAAGCTCCGCTACCATGCAAAATTCAACAGAACAATCGAGGGATGCCGAGTAACCAAGATCAATCACTTTCCCCACAGTCTCTCAAGCAGACATTCCTGTGTGACGTCAAGCCAATCCGTCCAGTCTTGAGCCAATGCCATTCGGCATAGTAGCTTTCTCAAATGCATCATGAAAATTAGGTGCAGCATTGGGCTCGTGTCATTCAACCACTAGAGTCACTAGAGAGGGAGGGAGAGAGAGAGAGAGAGAGAATGAGCAAGGCCACGCACCCTACAACTTGGACGACTTTGCCACGGACCAGGAGAAGTGGCAGGCTTATCGCGCCGCAAGCAAACAAGAGTACCGAGATTATCGGCGAGAACAACGAAGCAAAGGACAATGGCAGCCAGATGTGGGCACGAAGCGAGAACGTGGATGGAAACAAACCAGCAAGAGAAGACGATAAGCCCTGACATGTACAGCCATGATGCCGCCCTTTGGTAGATTTTGGGGAAAAGCCCCTGTATGTCAGGCTGCTGCTACCAAGAGGGGATGTCCCTGTAAAAAGTTTTGTAGGCGATTCTGTCATTGTCCACTGCTGCTCTAGCTAAGTGGCCTGCCCCACCGCTGAGTGCTGACATGCAAGAAGTTTTGTCTTTTCCTCTGAACTAGTAGGGGTAAAACCCTTGGGACTCGCCTGGGATCCACGCTGAACTTTCTCTCCATTCACGCCGTTCCGAGTTTGGGGTCAAACCCTTGTACCATACTTTGTATGCTAATCCTGGCGGGCAGCTGGAGCCTCCAAATGCCTCGAGATCTGGCCTCCTGCTTGAGGTCTTGTAATTCACTCAGCGCGCGTATTTTCTGAGATCGCATAGTGGCTGAGATGGAGTCCTGCAATCTCTCTTTCCAAAGGCACCCGATTGTTTTTGTATGCTTTCAGCCCCTTTGGCACCCGCAACAGTCGGGGGCGCACGTGCGCGCGGTGAGGGGGGAAACCCCGTCACCACAACCCTGGCGAAAGAAAGAGGGAGAAAAAGAGAGAGTGAGAGAGAAAACCTAAATCGGACCTTTCTGCACAGACGTTTCCCGACACATCACACCTGCAGCTCTGTGCCGCCTATACATCCTGAAATTTTACGCGAGAAACGGTTCTGTCAGTCACGATCCGAAGATTTCAACGAAGCACAGATCTGGGCATGGGCGCTGGGAAGAGGGAGTTGTTGAAACTCGGACCACAAGGACCACAAGGCCACGAAGCAAGAAGCCAGGTAGAGAAAGCAACAACGAAGATGAGCAGCCAAGCCTGTCTACTGAGTACAGTGTACTGTCTTTACATGTTGGACTGGACAATCTTGTCTTTGATGTGATCCGCCGCATTCGGCAATGCCGTTCAAGCAATGGTGTATCGTTAGTGCTGAGGGATTCTTTGCGCTGGGCGGAGGCAAACATCACTTTCCGTTTCGCCGGCGGCTCGCATCCAACGCATGTGGAGGTAGCAGGGCTGGACACGGTGTATCGGATCATGCCGGACGCAGTTGTCGGTAACCAGGAGATTGACGGAATGGCAGTGATGGCCATCGCTGGCTGGCAAGCCTACGACATCAGTGCCCACAAGTGGGGGGCGAGTGAATACTCCAAGAAACGAGCTCTGTTCTTCCGCACGGAGATGAATCCCTCCGTCGGGTTGACCAAAAAAACTTGGGGAGGCTGGGGACACATTGCCGGCCTCCGGGTTTATCAGCGTGCAAAAGCGAAGGAGAACGGTGATGAGAGAATGTATTACATCAATGAACATGGTAAGATGAAGTCCATTGACGAGGACGATGTGACGCAGCATCCGGCGGAACACGAGCAGCTTGGCCTCTATATGTCAGGCTCCGAGAGAGGTGTCTTCAACCGCCCCGACAAAGAATTGATGGCTATGGTGGACGGCATGTTGGGAGAGACCTCATGCTTGGGGAATCCCAGCTGTGCCTTTCGCTGCTTCTATGACTCTGAGAAGGATGTTTGCGGGCCGGTGGCCTTCTGCGAGAAGGCCCGGGACGACGCACGAAGCGGGGTAGTGTAGTTAGCGCAGTAGTCAGTCGCTTGGCCTGCAAGGTTGAAGAGGATGCAGCCGCAGATGTGCTCGCGCCCTTTGGAGGAGAACAGAAGTGTCGGGCTGTCGGAGGTGAGACACACGAAGAAGCGGACAAAGTGCTGGCCAGCACGACCTTATCGAAGCTGAAGGAAATGGCTCTGGACGTCGCCGAACAAATGAGCGAGAGCGAGGCGATTTCTTGGTCGAGCAGTGGCCGAAGCTCTTTGAAGACCTCCGTCAGCTTGTGGCTCCAGGCCGCGGACCTCCTCAACCTCTTGGTCCCTTGGCCGCCAAAGGGCGAAGAGGGAACCCTGTTAGATTTGCGATAGGATTGCACAAGTGTGGCGCTTTTCCGATTGATTTTTTTTGCTGAGGAGACGCTGCCCTTGCGACTGGGTAAGAAGGCCGGGGACTTTGAGTTGGCCGCCCGGCGTGCAGCAGAAACAGACCTGAAGCATTGGCGTCGCCGCCCCGATTCTCGGAAGCAGCGAAGACTGCAAGGGTTTGCAAGAGTCTGCAAAGGAGGGCGGCTCTTTCCTGAAAAAGAGGCTTCAAACGCGAGCTGTGCTTTCAGGATCCGCTTACCAGAGCCGAATATGAGGCTGCTGCGAAGGCTCCCCTGTCTTTCGTCAAGGCTTCGCGGTACTTCTCCGTTGCAGCGAAGTTGCTGCTCGGCGAGATCGAAAGAAGCTATAGCACACTGCAGTACTGCCAACACACAAGGGGCTCGGATTGCTCTGTTCTAGCGCGACTAGGCACAGTGAGCTGGTTTCCTTCGTTGTGAAGCGGCCTTCGCTGCTGATGCATTACACGAAGAGTGAGTCCGACGGCAAGTGCATTCTTTCGGACAAGACCGCATCGGACCGGGCGCAGGTCACCACCTTCGTGAAACTTGCCAGAATAGTCGTTTTCGCATGGCCACCTTGTAGTCCTATCTTCATACCAGGAACTACTTCATGAAAGTGCCCGGCTACAATGCTGATGATCTTCAGTCGGTTCGACTGGACTTGCCAGAGCATTGCCAAGACTTCCTCGCTGGCATGGACAAGCTCGATGTGGAGAAAAACGCCCAAGATGCTTCGGAAGGCCTTTCAGATAAATTGTTGGGGGCTCAGGGGCCTATAAGCGACTTTGTTGTTTTATTGCGTGATTGTTGTTTTTTGGTCTTGTGATTTTCTGTGCATGTGTTGCTCCTGTTTTCCAGTTCTACCTGCTGCTTTTGCTTGCTTGTAGTTTTCTGCTTGTTTGTTCTTTTGCTTTTCTGCTTTCCGCTTCTCTGCTACCGACGGATTCCGGACTTCGAGGAACGATGGGTGTGACCGGGTGCGACCTCGCAATTTACCTTGTCGCACCCGTTCGCCCCGAAGCCCATACACATTTCCCTCGAACTACCCACGGATTCCGGACTTCGAGCAACGATGGGCGCGACCGAGTGCGACCTCGTAATTTGCGCGGTCGCACCCGTTCGCACCCGAATCCCATTGATCAGTAGCCACAACTTCAAAAATGACCACTGACGTCAAGATTAACATCACTCAATCGCGTTAATGCAATCAGCAGAGAATCTAACGCGATACAGATTCTGACTCAATCAACCGGCTCACTCACAGGGCAATCTCACTTGGTTAGCTCGCGGGGCATGCAGAGCGATCTGCCTTTGCCAATGCGAAGACGTGAAAAGGCATGGTCGCTGAACATGCTCACTTCGCTTCACAAAGCCGCAGTTACTCATGCATATCAATCCTGCCAAGAAGATCATCAATGGCATCTTACTTCCATCAATGGAGCAGCGATATCAATGTACAAGAGAGAGAACGCGAATTCCTCTCAATTACAGTCAGTATCAAAGGCATGAGCAAATTCATCCGTGAATCTCGTAGGAAAGCATATCAAAGAAGTCACATGCAGTGATGCAACTCCTGCAACAATCATTCCGGCAGCGAGTCATCACAAGCATTTGCAGAAATACTCTCAAACAAGCAAAAGACTATCATCGCTTAATAGAGCCTTACACCCATCATGACTCAATACTGTAGTCGACTCATCTGCAATCACCAGTTGTTCACGTCGTAAAGCTTGTGCACCACAGACCAGGTTTTAGTCACAACACCTGGCACTGTGGGCTTCAAGCAGTCGAGGATTTCATGATTCGTTGTAATCAGTCGCTCCAAGTTCCAACGAAGCGAAGCTCAGCAGCAACTGTAAACCACAATTCAGAATGAAGTCCCAATATGCTCTTCCAAGGTCCAATGTTTACAGATCACTGCCAATATATGTCCATTGACAAGAAATATGCGCAATCATTCCAACTCACATGCGCTGATGAAGGCTAAAGCATACAGAATAAATGCCTCAATGTGGTATAGGCGGAAAACGTCAACAATAGCTGACTGCCCATCTGTCATCACCTTCTTGAGCAATACCAGGCTCCAACACTGTCCTTACTCATCCAACACAGACGCTGCAATGACCCAAGAGTAACCTTGCATTCTTCTGGTTTGCAATCTTGAACATCACGCAAGTGATAGCGCTCGTCCAATGGATGTGTACCACGTCACAGTGTAGAGGGCAGCACCTTCTCCACAGTCTCAATGCAAAAAAGAGATGCGCCAGTCAGATCCATGCAGTCTCTGTAGCACAGCAATCCTCCTTGCCAAGGTGGTCTCCAAGTCCGGCGATGATGCTCTAGACAACCTTGAATCGCAAGGAGTGTTCCCATCATCGTCTTGAGGCCCTGATGCTCTGAAACCTTCAATCTTTTCTGTGGCCGATTCCCTAGAAAACCTCCAATCGCCAGCAGTGTCCCCCAGATCTTTCTGGTGATGATGTTCTGGGAAGCCTTCAATCGCAAGGAATGTCGCGTCGCTCTGCTTTACCTCGCCCCCTGCTCTGGTCCGGGTCTGCAAATGGCACTTTGCAAGCCCTGGTCCCTAAGATGTTTGGTCCAAGTTCTCCCTTCGCTGGTCCCTACGGTTTTGGATTTTTGAGTCCTGCTCGGGGGATTAACTTGTACCAAAATCCTCAAGGACAGGGCTTGCGATGTGTCTCTTTGGGGCATTCAAAAAAAGCAACATACAAGCTAATTGGTGCTCCAAAGCGTTTAGAGCGTCGTGGTGTGAAAATGAGGAGAGAAGCTGCTGTCCTCCGGAGCGAGTTTCGGGGAACTGCGATCCGAGCGCCTCTCCGGCGCCATCCGTGCCTGCGCAAAAAGACCGACGGACTCCCTCCTTCCCTCTTTCTTTAAGCGCCAAATTCTTCTAAATTCCTCTCCTCGCATCTGAGGCCACGCCGACACGGAAGCAGCGGGGGCGGATGCGGGCGCGGATGCGGGCACGGCGGGAAGCTCCGCTTTCCAAAGCTCCTCGGAGGATTTCGCTGGCACTGAGGCGGAGGTGACCGGTCCTCTTGCAAGCACAATTTTAGTGCAACCCGAATCGCAGTACATTCATAAATACCTTTGATCGCTCCGGAAACATCCCTTTGTCATCTGATGCGGGATTCTGCAGGCCCAGCAAAAGTTCGTGATCATCGCCTCGATCATCGTCGGCCTGGTTTGCCCCCTGTCTGACAACAAGTCTTGTTAGTTACTACAGCTCCTATAATGCGTAGCATCGACACCCGGACCACGCTGTGAACCTTGAGTGAGGTCTCGTGGTCGCTGGAACTTTCGCGATTGCTGGCTTGGCCAACTGGAACCGCTGCCTCAACAAGACAGGGGCTCCAGGTGGGGAGCATTGCCTGGCCGCTCTCGTGCCTGGGCTTTAGACAAAGCATTTCTTGCCCTGGGGCCTCGGTTTACGTCAGTTCGTGCCCTGCTCCATGAGGTTTGTACTGCCCTGGGACTTCTGGTGATATGCGGCGCCCTGGTGTGCAACAAGCAGACTTTTCACACCTCGTGCTTTATCATCATTCATCGGTCTGCAAGCATAGGAGCTTTCGCGATGTCGCTGGCAGCATCTCGGCTGGCATTGCTTTCACGAAGATGGGGGGCGGACATGAACACAAGCCGGCAGACCGGATTCCAAACAAGCAGTGCAAGCCTGGACCGCTACTCTAGAGCCGCTTCGCGTTGCGATTGTATGCGACTTTGAGACTTTTCTCTTTGTCTTTTTTTCGTGCTGACCTGTAAAAGACTTCTCTCTGCTTTGAGACTCTTTCTGCTGGCAGCTAGACTGACTCCCCTCTCGGGAGGCTGTGGCAGTAACTGGTGTTCCTGGCATTGGTTTCCAAAAGCTTGAGGTTTTTAGCTTATAGCTTGGTCTATGCTCATCACTTGACAGGGCGTCTATGCTTGCAATTGCCACTTGATGTGCCTGTCTCTCATGCTTCCGTATCATTTTCACGAGCTTTCCCCCACATGCCTTGTATTTTTACCAGAGTCAGAACGCTGTAATTTGATGCGAGGTTGGCGTGGCGGTGCTGGCCGGCGTGCTATTCCTGCTGCATGCTGTGCGGCACTACTTCTTGCAGACTGGGCAGCGCCTCCACCGCACATCAGGGCACCGCTGCGCACGGCAGAGCTCGTGTGCTTCCGCTATACATACTGATACAATAGTCCACCTCCTTGCGTTGTTGCGCTTCGCAAGGAGTGAGATCCAAAAGCCAGTCCTGGCACACAGCGCAACAAGCACAACTGGCATGCGCTCGTGAGCTGAGATGGTGATGCTAATTGCCAAAATGTCGTGCCTTTTACTGACAAAGGTTAATCGTTCTTGAGATAATAGCGCTCTCGTTGATACGAAGACACTGTATGATATGTCCAATGCTGTAGCTGTGGTGATTATGCGCAACATTGAGCACTCCTGTCGCTTGAAAGAAACGCAGCATGTAGTCCCCTGCATCATGCCACATCTGCTTCTGGTAAACGGCACATGATCCGGCATGTCGAGCTTTGGCTCAGTGCCTGTCGCGATGCTACGCCACAACCACCTGTATCGCTGTGCCGTGCTGGCCCTCATCTTCGGCAGCGTGTCTTGCTCAGATGCGATGCCCAGTTCTTAGATGCTGCCTTTCACTCCGTCCACTACCTTTGAATCTTCGAGGCCGAGGCGTCCATCGTCGATGTGTTGACCAAGGTTCGGAGCTCAGCTGAGGTGCAGAAAGATCCGACCTGCCCCGTCGCTCCGGCCGTTCCTCCCTCAAAGTCTCAGGTGAAAACTTTCCGCAGCGCGGGCTTGGAGCTTTTCAGCGGCTTGGCGGAGGAGCTCAAGACCAGGAAGGAGGCGCCCCCAATGGCAGGGTCCTGGGATGTCCTGGGTGTACGAAACGCAGCGTCGCGGCGACGGGAACTCCGTGACAGGACTCTGCTTCAAAGAAGGCAGAGGCCTTCAGCAACGACTGGTTGAGCGTGCTCGGAGTCCAGAAAGGCCTCACTGGACTGGCCAAGGTGCCTTGGCCTAGCGTAGCAAGTATAGCTACGGCCCTACGGCCAGCAAGCGCGCTGTCGGCTTGCAGGATTTCACCCTCAACTACCTGGGCAGAGAAAGCCACTTTGTCCGCGCAGTTGCATTTATCTGCGGAGACGGCAGCTTCACGTCGAGGTTATCATGATCGCAATGGTCCTCTTGTGGATGCTCTTAAGCAGGCAGAGGTTTTGTGGAGGCCGCAATACGGCCTGCATGATACAGACTCTGGTAGGTATCGGCTACACTCAGTGCACGCTTGGGCGAGGCCAAAGATTACTTGCCATGCTGTGCAGGTCATGGATGCATTGCTGCAGCATTTGAGCTATATGAGGATCCGAACCTATGCTGACAGGAGGAATTAGGGCACGAGCTGCTGCGTGCGATGAAGAAGGCGTGATACAGCACTAATGCGGGCGGGACCTTCCGCGGGCTCGCTTGAAAACTGAGGTTTGTTTCGAGGGAAAGCGGCTGTTTGCTTCAGGCGGGAACATGTGGAAACGAAGGCTCTGGAGATACGGAGTCGGCTGTTTCGTCGGTGTTGCTGTCTGTGGAGGTGGCTCCCTGCACGAGATGTTGTCCGACCTGCTGGAGCTCTTGGAGTCCAAGGGCGCCAGAGAGGCTTTTTGAAAGACCGACATTCATCGCTTGGGCGTCGAGAGCTGCACAGCTGCAGGCCCTGCCGCATGTGATGAGCACCAGCAGAGAGCTGAAGGAGGCATTCGGGACGCAGTGTTCACGCAGTGCAGCAATGCTCAAACTCTGCTTCCAACACGGCTGAGGCGCTGAGCTACTTCTCGGGCCCTCGAGTAGCGGCTTGGAAGACATCAGCGAACTCTTCGTAGCCCCGGAGCTTCTTCGCATCGTGCTGCTCACGCCACTTGCGCTTTGTCTCCAGGCCAACGAGGAGCTCTAGAATCTAGAGCTCGACAAAGCTGAGGCATCGTAGCCGCAGTGTAGCCGCAGCGCAGCCATGCGTCGCCGTGTATGAATTCGGATTCCGACCGGGCGCAGACGGAGCCCGAACACCATGAGCCGGAGAGCATGGAGAGCGCGCAAGGAGACCGCGACAGCAGCCAGAAGTCCGCAAAAGTTGCAGCGTGATGGCTTGTCGCTGTGTATTGCACCCCCAAGCCAAAAGGGATGATCTTGGGCCCTGTTGTTATCAGAACGACGGAGAACATAACAAAGAAATCAAGCCGTCAGGCATCATTACAGGTGGGTAGTAATTACCAAGCTGCTGTGAATGTGCGGTCCCATGCATGTGACATCATAATTGTTCTGAGAGCGCCTCAGCCCACAATCCCTTACTGGTACTTTGCTGTAACGGCACGCAACAGAAACCATCATATTCGGACCACAAGACTCGCCCACACTGACCCTAAGCAGTCAACACCAACAGCATCATTGCGAAGCCAGCGGACATGACCACGACAACGACGGCAAACTGCGCGCAACAAGCATCTCATGTCTTGAAGTTTGGCAAACCTGGAACGCACTTCAAGGTTGCAGAACTCCAAGACCTTTGCCATTCCAAAACCATGCGGCGGCGTCAAAGCACGTACAATGCGTGGCACAACAAAAATTGAGCCAGGTCGAACGCGTGTTCCAAAAGATTCTGCAAGGAGAGGGGCCGTATCAGGCAGATTTCCCGTTCATTCGGCTCAAGGTGCCCTCCCTAAGGGAGCGAATTGACCAGCCAGCCTAATTTGCATCGATTGCAGTCAATTCGAGCATTCACGAGCCGCTGTAACCTGTAGCAGGTTGAAGTCCCGTCGATGTGAGTCCAGTTTGCACATTCCATGTCGTCATGCACGCACTGTCACGCTGGAGCTGAGATACTGCAGAACTACCGTGGATATCTCGTGGCATGACCGCTCTACTGATGCCTGAGGTACTGGTTTGTGGCCAACGGAGAAGAGCGACTCTCGTCTCTATTTGGAGAAACATTCTGCGACTGAGGATCTGCGCGGATACAGATAGACCAGTTGGGAAAGGGTAACGGGGCTGTGTGGAGACCCCCTCTTAAAGACACTGGAAGGGGGCGGGTCTCTGTGAGTGGTAATTGTGTCCGGCGCCTATTTGGGGAGAGTGGGGGGTCGGAGATAAAAATGGATACCGGGGGACATGGTCATGCCAGGGTAGAAACTCACAATGCTCGTGCAAAAGTGAGGATGGTCGGCGGCATCACCTTCACAGGAGGATCCGTTGTGACTGCGAGACGTGCAGCACTGCTACGGGCCTAGTGAACACAATTCGATTTGTGCGGCAGTTCTGGAAAGTCTCCGTTGCCAGCGATGTCGCCACCACAGCTGCGACGCAGCAAGAGCGTGTGGAGCCCTGTGGCCGTGACCAGAGAGGCTTAGTACTGCAAGTGGTTTGCTCATGCCACAGGTAGTGACTTCGCGAACGCGGGTGAAGGTGCAAGGAGAGCGGTTCGACAAGGCCGCGGCTGAGTGCATGGGGCCGCATGCAGGGTTTTGCCGGGTGCTCTAAGAGAGCCGAGGCTCGCTTCTACTTCCAGCTAGCGGGCGGTCTCACGTCCGACCTGGAAGTGATGTTGGGACTCAGGACCCCCGAAGAGGTGCGCGAGTGTCCGCAGCTGGGAGGCTGGGACTCTGTCTGGCTGCGTTCTTTCGATGCCAGGCAGCTCTGGGCTGCGACCTTTTCCGGGCTGCAGAGGCTAGCAACACCAAGCTGGCACGGCACTCGGCTGCGTTTTCTGCATTCATATCACCATCGGTATAGCGAAGTGAAATTGGCATGGTGTTGTGATGCTGGTTACATCTGCAGGTGCGAAACTTGCTGGCGGAGGCGTTGATGGCCAGAGTCTTGAGGAAACATGCTGCCGCCCGTGTCCCGACCAGGGTGCGGATGCACTGCAACGCCATGCAGCCGGACAAGTGCCCCTTCATGTGGCCCGAAGCCCCGAGGTTGTCCCTTGGCTCAGGAACGATGTTTCGCACACTTCGACCTTTGAACGCTCGTTTTTGATGTTTGCCAGGTCTGTGAGTTGATTGCCGCATGCCCGGCAGCTGCTGGTGTCAGGTGACCGTCATCCGGCAGAGATTACAGATACTACAGGAATCACTTGTTTTCTGCAGGTCCTTCACAGGCCAGACGCCTGCGCAGCGCTACATGACTCTTAACCACAAGTTAGCAGAGGACAATGTGGAGTCGAAACCTTAGCCGAGTTTCTCCTTGTATCTTTAGCTTGTGGAGGAGCTGTTGCTTGCCGTGGCGTCTCCTGCTGCTCTTGGACAGCACGGGATCACGTCAAGAAAGTTGAAGATAGCACGCTGTTTTGGAGCCTGAGGCCTTGGAAGGCTTGTTGGAGCAGCGGGCGGGCAGAAGCCTGCTTGGCTTGATGCATCCTTCTTTGGCACGTGCTGTGCCGCCGTACCGTAAGTGCGAAACGCGCAGATTTGTGATGATTTGTGAGCTTGGGCTATTGAGGCTATTGGGCTCATTGGGCTCAGGTGCTGCAGCGGGCTTCTGGCCGAGTCTCCTTTGTCCCCAGTGGTTTCGAGGCGGTGGCGGTGCTGAGCCAGGCAAGTCACTGCCACAAGTCCACCAGAGTCCACCTCACCGTTTAGTGAGCGGCAGGATCCGGTGTCCTTGGGGGAGCTGCGAAGGCTTTGGCTTCGCCTGCCCAAAAACTTCGAGGCCCGAGTGCTCCAGCACCTCGTCCTCGAGGCGCGATGCACTCAAAAAGGCTGCAGGCCTGAGTTGGACACCCCGCCATTCGAGGCCGCTCCGACTCCAGCCACGGCGCAGCAACTGCAACGTGCCCTGGACAGGGAGCAACGTGCCGTAACGCCGCAAGCCCTCTGTCCTTGCCTCGCCTCGCAGCGAGGAGACTGTCCTGCGGCATCTTTGCGGCAAGGAGGCCAGGCGGCCGGGCGCTTCGGGGGTTAGCCGTTACCAGTAGCTGTGTGGAGGATGCGCTTCTCCCTCCTTTGCTGAGCTGCTGCATTTATGTGATGGTGGTTCCGTGTAGATCGTTGAGAGATACAGATCCGGAAAGTTCATTCCCAATGCCTCCTCAACGAGAGGATTCGGATGAAGCAACCCTTGCTGCTGAGAGTTGACTTGGTCCATGCGGCAGCACGCGTGTGGCCGTGGGTTCTTCCGTACAAAGATATACGTATAAATAAGATTCAAGGAAAGCAGAGGCTCCGGTTCTGCGGCGGTGCCGGGAGCCTCCTGTTGCCGAAACGGAGCTCTTGCGCTTGCGCTCTTGCTCGT